AGGCATATGAACGTTATCTGTTATCCTATCGCCCGGGAAAGAAATGTGAATGTTCTCCGAAACGTATGAAAATAGCTCCAGATCATACTGATCACAGAATACGGAATAGAAGCGCCATGGAACCGTTTAGCGAAAAATCCCTCTTCGACGATATATTTACAATCTTTCTACCGATTTAGACATTTCAACTGACTTTGCATTTATCACATATTTTCCTTTTAGATTGTCTCTCATTAACTGGCAATTGTATCCCACATGTTAATTTTTGACCTTTAATGTTTGCGCTCATCCTTTTTAACCTTCACTTGTGATGCTTCTTTGTGGTCGTATGTATAATGACAATGTGTCGGTTAACGGTATGAGTTTTTTGAGTGTTGAAGGTCATCCTGATGCGGGAAGCCTCGGTATTTGGTTCTCAAGAAAATAGATTTTGGTCCCACCTCGTTGGAAATATTTGTCCTGATTCTAGGGTAATTTTTACAGTTGAACTTTTGTAAACTTATTTTGTGTAACAGTATTTCTTTTACACTTATAAATTTGCATTGCAAACGTACCCTGTGTGACCGCCTCACAGCACTGTCGAGATAAATTTTAGTTTTAATGTTCTAACTTTTTAATAGAAGCGCTAAAATACTGCAGACTAATCGTCTTTTCCCTACCTTCGGAAAGATTCATAATAACACGTGTTTCAGCGAAGTTTTGTCGGCCATATAGTAGTACGAAGAAATAATTGTTTTGCGTTCAGATGATAATCAGATTGATATGTTTAGGGCATTGTCATCACGATTCTAGAAGCTTACAAGATAGGTTCTGTTGTCAACCTAATGAGATATTGATGGTGGTTGAAGCTTTCGAAAAGTGGAAAGACAAACTATCCTTTTATCTCTTAGGAGTACGTTTAACAATAAGGCAGGATATTGTGTTTTATTACAAATAGTTCATGGAACTATTTGTTCCTTATCAAACAGGGCCCTGTTTTCCAGCAGACTACTGCTACAGTCTGGTACATTAAAGAGGATAACGCAGTTTGATCTACTAACCGTGGATTTAGGTTCGGTCCTCGCACATTTGTTATCCCTCTTAGGACCGTTTTGTTTCGTCTGGTGCAACTGGGTATTATTGTGTGTCGCAGTGCTGTGGCCACTTTTACTGGTGGACGGTAAGGGTCTTTTCCCAGCGACAGATACCCTTGGTGCTTCAACCTCTGTGTCTGGGGCAGTTATGGCAGGAATTGCAAGTACAACTGGTGTGGATTTTGGTATCCCCGATTTACGTGCAATTGTGCTGTTTTCTGAGTTGGTGGGAGTAAAACGTTTCACGTTTTTCCCTGATACCTTTATGCCATCTTTAGCTTTCGAGGAACTACACGAGGCTGCATAAGGACGGCAACTTGGGCATATGTACCAGGACCATGGGCATGGGTTCTTACGCATAAAATCGTAATATACCTTTGGTACCCCGGTGTCACATCTACAATGGACCAATTGCTCGCAAAAGTTGCATTCGAAAGCAGTCTACTTGTTCGACAACAGAATTGCAGACCTTGCAATCGTCTACCTTCTTGGGGAACGTTTTCGTCGTCTTGCGACGTCGTGAACGTTTCTTATTGGCCTTCCTGTTTGTTTCAAGGCCTACTGTGGATATGGGTGTTATACTATTCTCACTTTGTGCAGATTTACCACTCGGCTCTATTAACCTAGTCGTGTTAACAGGGATGGAGCCACATACGCTTAGTTGACTTTTCACAGTTTCACTGTAGGACTGCGGCGACATGGGCAATCTGTCCACGCAGGGAATATTTACCCTGGTCTTCAAGACCGGTATGCGAGATTCCATCACCTTCACCTGTTTGCCTAGTTTGGCTAAAGCCCTGGTGACTACGGTGTATGGTCTCCCATTACTTGTCTTAGGGTGAGAACCTATAGTCATATTACTCCTAAATTAATACCGATGATTAAATAATAAGAGACAGTGGAGTTTTGTCCAATAGCCTAATAATAAATAGAGGACTCATTGATCTCTGCAAGTAAGAACTGGCTTCAGAGCTTATTACTAAATAGCTCCAGAAACAAAAGACAGTAGAAAGCACAGAACAGAAAGAAAAAGTATATAAGTAAAAGCTTTTGACTTTACCTGTAACTTACGGGTTATTCGGCTTCACAACAATCACGTAACAGACCAACAAGTTCTGTACGTTTGAAAGAGTGAGGGGGATGTCACTACAGAAGTAGCACCTGAAGCTTAGGCAGACATGATTACTTCTATTCCAACAGAAGGTTCTATTAGGATTTACAGGTGACTTCCAAGTACTGATAGGATTCTTTTGTCAAAAAGGACTGTTCTTCACACGAAAACAGGATGAATAATTATCCTGAGACGTGAAGTCTCCATTGAATGATACCATGCTGAAAAATGGAGCATCTAAATAAAGTAGACTATTTGTGTAGATGATATTACCCTTCAGCTATCCTATCTTTCTCATTATAGCGATATTTTGCTACAGTTCGCCTGAAACACTAGTCGTTGCAACCAATATGCTAGGGGGTGTCGCAGTCAGATAACATGACGCGGATACCAAAATAACTGGCCAGAAAATGGGAATTCTCATCAATCCAGATAACATATAACACAATTTTATTAAAAATTATTGACAAAAAAATTTCCAAGTGAAATTTTAACAGCTGTTCTAGAACGTGATATTCAACGTCTACCATTCAAACCCAGTGAAGTGAAAACTCGGAGTGGCAATAAACGTTATAGTGATATATTATCGCGGAATGTATGGGTTATCGTGTTCACGCGTATAGAGGCGTTATAAGCGTTTACTTTTGTGAAAGTAGATAATATATAACTGGTTTCAGGCTTATATAACCGAAAAAGCAACATTTTCCAGTATTTTGTTCGTATTAATGGAAGAACCTGTCATGATATCGCAGAGTATGTATTACTTCAATACCTCATCGTATATAAGAAATTTAGCAAAAAAAGACTATTCTTCGCGTTTTAGAGCCTTAATGGTCTATTATTTGCTAGGTTTTTGAGGAAATATAGGTTGAAAATTAGGTGTATACAATGGTTGTTTTCATAGCAGTTATTCTATGATAAGGAGACATTTGAAGGAGAACTAGCCCACAGACACAAGTGAAATATACGTTTTGAGGATACCAAACACTTTTTTATCATCATCCGTGATGATTGAAATATTCCATAACACATCGAAGAGAGTATGCGATGAATGAGGCAATTTGCTGAATTTCCTGGTGATTTTATCCATTTCTCTGAAGTTCCTATTTTAAATGGCTCAGTTGAAGATGTGATACTAGTTTAATTTACATTGTCACATAGAAATTCGGGAGACCGTAATTGCTGAGTGCATTACATTGCATCAGATTATCTCGATATCATTGTGCATTTGTGCCAGAAGAATAGTATACATGGTGCTTCTACAATGCCAGACTGCTTCAAATTCGAATCACCTTTCTGTAGAATAGTAGCTCGCAGGTATGTCCTACAACTACTAAACGTGTTACTTCAGTTATATCAGTCTTACGAATTTTTCATGTTCACATCACTAACATATTCTGAGATGCTTAATGAATTACTTGTGACTATGAATGACATGGAAGGTGTACTTATGGCTCATGTTTCAAAAGCATTTACTATGAAACAAGTTATCTGTAGGGATTTTGTGATGTTTAAGTTACAATGCTTGTGTGTATGTAGTTACTGCATGCTATTGTACTTGAAGGGAAAGTGAAGATATGATAAAGTTTTCTCTAAAGTCACTATGAATACTGCAAACTGTTGCTAAGAAACAGCATCAAAGGAATATTTTCGGAATAGCTAGAAAACAGTACTGCAGTTTCTCAGGATGCTGTTCTCCTCCTGGAATACCTTTTAATTGTGTGAGGGAATAGCACTTACCGATATATATGCAGTGTTCATTGTAAAGGGTCCGGAGTTTAACTCTTATTTTAATCTGTTGTAATTGCTTGTGCAATAAATGAACAATATAAGCTTTTGAAAAAGTTTTAATTTACGATACTTCACGATTGTAATTTATAGCCTAACTTATTGTACCTGTAGAGATGTCATGCATTCCTTGTAAACACCCATTTATACAGTATATTAAGGTATTATTTGCTTGGTGCTATACTTTAGAAGAAGAACAATGTATGTCACAGTGAAAACCGCAGAAGAATGCTGTCATGACCAAAGAATGAGAAAGGACAATGAACCTTTTTTCAGCAAAGGTAGGAGAATATGAAGCGTTTCACTTTTACATTACTTATTTCTAACTTCAACGATTTAAAAATTATACCTTATTATTTACTTGTAGATGTTCGGTCAAGTCAGTCAACCAGGTCACAGCAATTACGCATCCTCGCAGTAATTACGAAAAACAATTGTGTGAAGACATTCGCTTAATATTTTTCATGAAATATATTTAACATCCTGCTTACCATACTTTTCTTATTCTATCTCAGTGAAACTAAATTTGTCATTATGACGAGATGTAGGCCTGAGAAACTAATTGTAGTCATAATTCAACGTCGGCGATATCTTACTAACATTGCTACAGCCCAACCTATTAAATTATTCCTCTCGTGTAGACTTCAGTTTACACTGTATGTTAACACCCGTAGTCATATTGATTGACATCTTGCTTTAAGTGAAATAGTAGTAATACAGTGCTTTTGATTACACTTAACTTCATACGAAATCGAAGTCAACTGCAGGGCCCTAAGTTCTATTCTTATTTGTCAAACACTGAAGTTAGGTATTTTTGTAATTAGTCCCTACAGATTTATCTATGACTAGGAGACGTAATCTCAAATTTTTTTCGACGTGACTGAAGTACTTATAATTCACGACTTATATCGGTGGAAAGTGTTCCTACAGATTAGCACTTACGTATAGTAAGGAATTCATATCCTAGGGAGCACCGGTCTACCATGCCGTACTCCCAACGCGAACACACTAACAGAAAGGCAACAATCTTAATACGAAAAGTTTATTATTATTGTAATACGAAAGTATTTAATTTACACATCAAGAACATTGTTGATTTGAGCGACTACTTGTCCAGCGAACTCTGCGGCAAACCTCCGTCCATATTTGTCGCAAATTCTCGTCAGGCCCGCATTAATAAGCCTCCTATTGGTTACGTATAAGTCACATTGATTTAGCGGCACAATTGCTGACGTGCTTGGAATTGCGTACGATTGGCGAGACCATGTCCATCGTTTACAGTTCTGCAGCACATGATTAACTACAAAAGGTGTAACGGTAAACGGAAATAGAATTATGCACGCAATATTAAAGGATAAATAATGACAGTGCTTAGGTCCTGTTTTCAATTAAGACAAACCCTTATGAAATATATATACATTTTAGTATCTACGAATTTCAGTCACTTAGGAGTAGGTTAATATGCATTAACTATGGAGACATAAAATAGGGAATACTTCAGGTGGCAACCTAGTATATCTTACGTGTAAATGAATATACAAGTTTCAAAAAAGGGTATTTTACCTGTGAAACACGCCTTTTTTAAATGCACCATCAGCAAGTGTCGACAGGGATACCGACAAGTCTGGAACGTCATACAAGTACATGTGCATGCGCGCAGATCCACCTCTACTGGTCTCCCATTGTCATCCAAGAAGATATAATCAAAACCTTCTAACTGAAAAGAAGTCCATCGTCGCTTCGCATAATCAGCGATCACTTTCTTCGCAGTGTATGGCGTCAGGTGGCGTAAAATTGGTATTATGCGTTCGGAACATGAATACTTGAGGGAACGCGACTGAGCAATCATGGACTCCTGCTCTATTCTAGAATTACTAAGTTGAAACCATTTGTGAACCTTCAGCATGCTTTGATGCAGACTATCTGATCTAAGCAAGTACCGCTTCATCTGCTTGTGAGAACTTTCTACACGATTGTTGGTATCATTACCCAAAGTCAGTACATGTTCCCTGAAAGCTGCTGCCCACAAGTGTCGTCGACTCATCCAACGACGTTGTAAATACTGACTGACACCAACATCCAATCGGCTTATAACTCTGAAATAGAAGTTAAATCTGGAAAAATGAAAATATTAAAGGCATTACTCAGATCTCCTTTTACACTGAATTAAGCGACATAAGTAGTTCTTAACAATGGGATTCCGCGTCTAAAATTGAAATTTTAATTATGCTTTTAAATAATTTACTTTACGACAAAATGCACGACAAACATGAAAAGAACAAAGAACAATGTGCGCTTCTCTGTGTGTTAACTTCACTGCTCCTATTTCGGCTTGCGCACAATCCATAATGAATGTTTCTGTTTTAGAGGTGTCTTCCATTATGCTACGAAACGAGTCCAAAATCCAAACAACATCACGCTTGAATTCCTTTCGCGTCCAAGCAAATAGAACCGGTCTCCCACGACCAAAATTATCCGTTACAACCAATTGAAACAAAGAATACCTGCATGTTCATTAATTAATTAATAAACTTACTTCCCTTTATTTGTGTTATATGTAGAATCGATGCCAACAACCTCCGGAAAACGTTTATACAAATCTATTTGCTCATAAGTAGAAAAACAGACTCTCATCAGTGAATTCCTTATCGGTTCATCTGCATAATACTCCAATAACTTCCCACGGGACTTTAGGAATTCAAAAATGTCATAACGGCTCGATATACCTGAAGTAGTTTACATTTACATTAACGTTACCTTTATTAACTGAAGCTTTCAGATTTCTAACGTCATTAAGAGTTATGTCCTTGTGGAATGTTTCCTTAACATGCATAATTATTTCATCTGATGAGTGTGATTGGTGAAGAAGTGGTTCTATATTTTCTTTCTCTTCCGCTGACAGTCGTCTAGACCATGGATCATTCTGCATATACACCCTGGTGCATGGATGGTTGTGGACCATTTTGTGGGATGTTATCACGTATTCACTATAACGCAAAATTACGCGAAATGCAGACAGACAGTTGCAACATTTAGACCTTAAACATACATATTATCATAATACAATTCCTCTTACGACTTGTTTCGCAATTTCAGGCCAGCTTTTCCACGGTTCACGCCAAAAGTGCATTTAAAATAAACGTAAGCGTACTTATATCTGTCTTCCCCTGTTGTTTTGCTTTGAATATGCACATAGTGAGTGCAGGACAACTACATTGTTAGCATTAAATGACTTCCTCACTTGTTGAAATTCTCCTAAGGAATTCTCAAATTCCTCCCAACTAAAGAAACGCCTTCCCAGCATAATTTCATCGAAAATTCCACTGACGTCAGCAGTACTTTCACCCGCATTGCCTACCTGCAATAAACTAAAAAGGCGTTGTCAATTAGCATCCATCTGTGTCGCAATATCCATCAATAAAATGCTACATGTATAACCTAAAATCGAGAAAAGCCCTCGAACTCACGGATTCCTTGACATCGCCAGCAACCGATAGGCCAACAAACAGAATGTATGATAAACCAAGCCTGGTACATGCACAAAATAAGTAAAATAAAACGTTAGAATACCAATATTTTACATTTATATTCATCAAACATGCTTGCAAACAACGCATGCCGCAACCACGAAAACCTGCACACGGCATGACCTACCGAGGACAAATTTAAGTCAAACTCTCCGCCACTGTACTAGCCAATCAAAGCTGAGAAAGCCCTTAAGCGCGTAAGATATAACACTCTATAACGTATATTCTCACTCGAAAACTCGCAGAAGTAAAAGCGGGCTGATCGAATGCATGCGTTGCAACGTGTTGCTACTGCTCTTGCTCTCTGCTTGTGATGCCTTCCCATTTGTTGCCTTAGTGCCGTTCTCAGTAGCGCTGACAGGAGTATTATATAAAGAACGTATCAGTTGTTTGTTTTATGAATGTTGTTCCGGAGCTGTGTCATTTAACAAAACAGGTTAGTAAATTTAACTGTTTTATTTTTCAAGGTTTAGAGCGGTCTCTGTGGCATGAGTTACACGGCCAACATATTGCGGCCGAACGCGTATACCATCATATTCTGGATTACATGAATGACGGAAATCCACAAAAGCCCCTAGCGTTATCATTCCATGGCTATACAGGTGTTGGGAAGAATTTCGTTTCCAACATTGTTGTGAACAATATCTTAAGATTAGGCACACGCAGCCGATTTTATCACTTCTATGACACAACGATACATTTCAAGCACGCTAGTCAAATTTCAGAATATAAGGTTAGTTTCTTACGTTTCACCGTTTAAACAAAGGGTTTCAAATATTCTGAGGGACAGCCAAAGGTTTCGTCATAATTATTATAAGGTTCTAGTCAGCTGTATTGGGAAAAGTCACCGCTCTTTTGTGAGTATTCTTTGGTTTGGCACCAAAAACATCTAGGAGACAGTTGTATAAACAGTCGTATTCGCTAAACTTACACCACCATTAAAAATATAACGCTAGTGGTACGACCGTTCACTGTGCAGTCATTGGCATAATTTACCTTCCCTAATTTACAATACCCCTTAACCAGCTTATAAAGTTAGCTGACCAAACATCTCAACTTTAAAAATTTTTTGTTTTAGAAGTTAACTGACTTCACAAATGTAAATGAATGACGCATTCATAAAGTCACTAACTCGTGTTTCACAACTTTTGTACTGAAAAAAACTTGTGATAAACTAAAGGAGACTATAAATCATACCTTGAAGTAAAATAATAACCATTTAGTTCGTACCTTTTAAACTTAAGAGCCAATTAGAAGTTTCTTAAGTTCATGTGGGACTGAGTGAGTAAAAGCCAAAGGAGAAAGTCAGTAGATCATTTTATTTGTTCTTTGCAACTCACTTTTTATTTTTTATTCTTGAATTCCCTTTCCGTTAGTTTCTTTCTACCCTGATTTTATTTAATATGGATGTGGCTCATTGTCTGCGGTGCTTGACCTTCAGCCAACTGGTCTAAGCTTTGAATCCCACTCTATCTATTCCAGCCTAAGCGACTGAGTAGTATCTTCAACCTTTACACTAGCGTGATACTTATTTTACTACATGAAATCACCTGGTATTCGAAAAGCTAGTAGACCGCAGGCTTTAACTTAAAATGCTGATATGTGACCAAGCCGTCACAACTAATAGGTAATCCCTGTTCACTGCCTTCACCTAACTAGGAGTATTCCTACAAAAATGAAGGGCCATTGCGAATACACAGCGTTCGTTACCAAACTGGTTCACCATGTCAACGTGGCGGCTCCCATGTCATTAACTTCTTGGCCTGGTACTTGTTGAGGAAAATGGAGATGTAAGCCCATGACGTAGCGCTGTAGACAGGAAGTGGTTGTGTTAGAGCAGCATCTGTTGGTATATCGTAACTTTCTGATTGGGTAAGAGAAACCTTACGACTCATGTTATCAAACATGACTATTTTCTTAACACTGTTGTTCTGCTAATTTCGATGGCACAGCTGTTTTTGTCTTTACTGTATGTTGATTGTGTTTGAATAATTATAACAACAGTCTGCACTATGGAGTCAGTAATTTATTGTATCGGCCAACGTATTTGGAACAATTAGATTTTTAAACTGCCCGTACAGTTGCTATGACTTAATGTATAATATTCAAGTTTTTGTGTATGTGTATCGGTACAGGAAATTTCAATCCTGTTTCTTGGTTTTGAAGTTTAAATGTCTGCAAATTCATTGAACTTTTAAATGAACTCTAGAGAATATCTAAACTGTTTCAGTTATCTATGATTTCTTGTGCGTCCTTAGTGGTAGACTCCGATTAATTTGTAACCATACTGAAGGGAGAAATGTGTTTAACTTCAGTCATCCAAGTATCATGACGAGGGAAACATAAACTGATATCTCTGGAAAGTTTTGCTCTTTTCGAATACATCAGTTAATTATAATTATATTTCAATGGCTGTTTACACTGATAAGCTTTCGATTTTAGTTATCCTTATGTGCAAACAACCATTATAATATATAATAAATTGTTTTTACGAGTTTGACTACGGATTGATATCAGTTAGAGAACCATTGAAAACCAGGGAGTACTGGACAGCTGATTCATCCGATGATTCCCAAACTAGGATGAAACAGCTGTCCAGTACTCCCTGGTTTTCAATGGTTCTCTAACTGATATCAATCCGTAGTCAAACTCGTAAAAACTAATCTAATTTTTACAAATCGACTCTTGAAAATAATTATAATTAATTAATTGGAAAGGGGTAAAAATACTGATGATTCTGTGATTCTCACCATATTTTTTTTCCCTCTAGGAACGTCTTTATCGAGAGTTGCATGCAGCTGTTTCAGAATGCCCCACATCAATATTTGTTTTTGACGAAATGCATAACATGCCCCACGGGATACTCGATGTATTAGCACCTTTATTAGAGATTCGTGAATCAGTTGAAGGCGTTGACTTCAGAAGATCTATATTTCTATTTCTAAGGTATTTGACAGTATATTTATGTATATATTGAGGATAATGAAATTCTTTTTGAGATTGTTTACCGGTCAGACACAATCAAAACTTGTGAATGAGAATAAAACTTGTTCACTTTAGTGGAGTATAATTCTATTGTGGATGAAATTTATTTTGATAAAGTCTCACATCTGACGTTTTGAGCACAATTTATTGCTCATAATCATATCGAGATACTCACACAACTTTCTAAATTCGCTTATGCGCTCACTTGTGTACTCTGAATACTACATTTCTCCAGTTTTAATGTATCCAAGACATATTTTTACGAATCATATTTTTAAAAAATGCAGCACCACTTGCTGTTTCTATTGTGCAAAACTGATTCAAGACCCATGAGTTTTATTGTTTTGTTTAAGCTAAATTAACCGAAACAGATTTTTCATGTTATAGGCCTAAAGCCAAATTTACCATATAGGGGCTGGTGATACCCAATTGCCCAGACTGAAGTAGGTGTGGCGGCGCTCGAACTCGTGATTCATCGTCTGTAAACGGAGTCCTTAAACCAGTGAATTACATCATGAGTTTTATTCAAATATGTGTAACTTTCTTGTATTGCATATTTCGTCTAACTGGTAATTTTCCTCGATCCATTGTGATGCTGAATTCCAAACAGAAACTGGTGTTATTTCTCAGTGACAGTGACGGTTGGTGAAGATATCATACTGCTTAAAAATTAATCTTTTCAGAGTACCATGGTTATTGACAGTTTTTTTGAATCTAATCAATTAATTTTTATTAAGAGAATGAACACTGAAGTTTCTTTTGTCAACAGAATTTATTGTTATAAGCAGTAAGAGGCCCATGACTTTTATTTTCGTTAAGCTGTAAATTAAATTTTAAGTATTTTCTACTCCTATTATTTTGAATTTCACTGTGTATGCTGATGACAGTATTACTTTGTAAATGACGAAAGACGAGATATCAATAGATGGGTTATTTCAGTCTTCTAAATCATCACTCAGGATTAACTTCAACTCCAGTAAAGCTTCTTAGCAATTCTGTTGCACGAATATATATATATATATATATATAAATGCCTATTATCATGCTTAAATATTTTAAAGTGTAATCTAGTAAACATTTGTTAATAAACATCTTGGATTCTTTATCGTAATGACTAGGCATTATAAAAAGCATTTATGTTGCTAATAACACTTCTCCTGTAGCTAATATGGGTATATAGCTGTAGGATCTGAAGAAGCTTTGTATTAGGTAACCTTACTTGACTTAACACTTAGTGGTACAATCATAACAACTGAACGACATTTCGAGCACAATTTTATGCTTATAATCATATAAATGTACTCACACGGCTTCATAATTTGCTTTAGATATTTTTCCTCACTCCCCCTCATTGTTTGTTGCAATTCTACGTATCTCCGTTGTGTCATTTCGATTGCACATGTTCGGTGTTGATCCGATAAACAAAGATTCAGTAACTATCCTTTCTCTCCACCTAACTATATTACTTTTTGATACCTTCACCCTGTCCCACCGTATCGTTATATGATTACATGCAAGTGAATGCAGTGCAATAGCCAAGCTTTTTTCTAGGTTATTTAAGCTAGAGGTGTCAGTCATTCTAGGTTTCCGTGTTTCGATAATCTAACTGACCCCGATCTACTAGTTTGACCTATGTTATTGACCTAGTAGTCATTACATAGTATTTTTCAAATTATATTCCTTTTCTTAATTGAGTCTATCTCGAATATATCAAAAATTGCAACGAAAAATAAGAGGGAGTAAAGCTATATATAACATATTCAGGGGTTATGTGAATACATTAATGTAATTATAAGCAATAAAGTGTACTCCGAATGTCATCCGATTATTAGTACTGTATCACTGTATTCTACCAAGTAAGCTTACGTAATATTGAGTCATATTTTATTACAGTGACTAAATTCTGCTCTTGCAGTTATAATTTATGGAGATGAATATTCTTTGTTCCTAAACCATGGTTTCAATATTTATCTCTTCACACCCCATGTTGTTTTGCCTGCTTGTTGTCTTTTTTTGTCTCATGACGATAATGTAATGCACAAATATGTTTATTTATTGGGCTATCAACCATATTTAATGTTTGATGACTTATTATCCGATTTGAATGGGAGACCAACTAGCTAAAAGTCGAATGCTGAGGTATATCATCCCTAATGTGGAAATCAACTGGTGTTCATATCATTTTAACATTCATTCTGCTTTGAGTGAGATTTTAAATAACTTTTATATTTATCTCCTTTGCTCCCGAACAACCGTAATTTTAACTTTCTTTCTCTACATCAGTAATGCTGGTGGCAATTATATCAATCGGCGTACCTATGAACATTTAGTCGGTGGAAAGAAACGAGAAGATCTGCGTTATACAGATATTGATCGTGTTTTGGCCAAATCAGCATTTAATAATGAAGGTTTGAAATATTTATGTTGCTTAATTCCATATATCATTTCTAAATAGTTAGTAGAATCATAGTTGTAGCAGAAAATGGTTCATGCTACTTACCACTGTCTCCAAGATCCATTCTGATTCTATTTGTCTTAGATAGGTGGATTTATCACTTTGATGGCATTTAATCTACTACACTTTTTTGAAATCAGTGTCCTTTCATATTGCCCACCAAGACATCCTCATCTACACAAATATTGGTGTTGTAAATTTTTGTTCTTTTATTGTCTAGACTAAGCGTCATATTCCCCGTGTAACTTAAATAAATCTGCAATTATTACTTACTATTTTTCAGCTCTATGTATCACTTTTAGAATTTTTCTGTTATTAAAGGACATTTCTACTGTCTGTATAATTTTAGTTTAAAATTTGAATTACCGTACAATAATTTTCCGGTGACTAACTATACTGCTTGGTGATATTAGGTACTTTTGAATTATTCACATAACCTACTCTTGTCAGTGTAACTATATAGACGACCTATTAAATGGACAACGGCTCTGCTCGTTTGTGGTTCATCTCATCAGCTAAATGGCTGAGTTATTGGACAACTCTTTTTGGCAACCAGTGAAACGAAGTGTTTTATAGTTGAACTTTGCAGAGATAAGAGCCACACTTCACACTTATTCCACCGTTTTAGTTGGATATGTACGGTAAGTGTGGACTAGTATTTAGCCCTTCTTGGGAATATTAGATAGATTGCTCAAATAGAAGTTTTATTAACTGTATTGTATGGTACCTGAGTTAGTTGCTAACACACAGACTAGTGCACAAGAAAAACATCTCTGTTTGTGGTTGAAAGCATGGATGCAATGGTACTTACATTTTAGGTAAGTCACTTATCATACCAGTATTCAAGAAGGGAGATAAGTCCTCATGTGATAATCATAGAGGAATCAGCCTAACGAACATAGTCTCTAAAATCCTAGGCTCAGTAATCATGAACAGACTAAGCCGAACTCGGGAGGAACAAACGAGGGAAAATCAAGCGGGCTTTAGGCCAGGTAGAGGGTGCATAGATCATATCTTCACTTTCCGACAGATCCTAGAACATAGGCACTTTTAGGCGTCCAACAATAGCCATATTTCTTGACTTGAAGGCGGCCTTCGACTCTGTGGATCGAGAGGTTCTATGGCAATGTTTGACTATGAAGGGAGTGCCAAGAAAGTACATTGCACTAATCAAGGCACTCTACTCAAACTCACGTAGCTGTGTAAGGGCTTATGGGGAATTGTCATCTGAATTGATAACAACCAGTGGTGTCCGTCAGGGATGTCCACTTTCCTCTTTTCTGTTTAACTTCATCATATATATGCTAATGGAAGTATCCTTAACCGAACGTAACGACTTCGGAATCGACTTGTTACCAGGGAATAGTCTTATAGACTTAGAATACGCAGACGACATAGTCCTGTTAGGGGAGGACGCTGACAAAATGCAGAGTCTTCTGAACACCTTGAGCAGCAATCTTCGTATGTTTGGCATGCGATTCGCCCCTGTGAAATGTAAGATGCTGCTACAGGACTGGACTACGTCAACTCCAAGCTTAGTGATAGGGAGTGAAGTGATAGAACATGTTGACCACTTCACCTATTTAGGAAGTTGTATCAGCACCAACGGATTGATTGGTGACGAAATCTCAGCACGGATCCAGAAAGCTAGGGCTGCTTTCGCTAACTTACACCGTCTCTGGCGTAGGCGTGACATCCGGCTGTCAACCAAGGGACGTGTATACTGCTCAGCAGTTCGCTCCGTCCTTCTCTATGGCGGTGAGACGTGGCCATTGAGAGCGGAAGACATGAAGAGATTGTCTGTTTTTGACCACAGATGTTTACGATCTCTTTCTCACGTTAGGTGGCATAATAAGGTAAGTAATGTTGACGTTAGGCGTAGAGTGTGGGGCAAAGAGGGAAAATCACTCGAAGAGGCTATAAAGTTACATAGATTGAGATGGTTAGGCCACGTGCTGCGCATGCCTAACCATCGTCTCCCCCGACGGGCGGGCATTACTAGCTGATATAGGTGCAGGTTGGAAAAGAGTAAGTGGTGGCCAAACAAAAACATGGCATCAATCCATGAAATCCCTGACAGTTAAACTGAGTCAGGTAGGGAGATGCAGACTTCCGGGTTGGGGCCCTCGGGACTCTAAGAATCAATGGCTGGAGACAACAGGTGACATGGCTCAAAATCGTTGTCAATGGCTTATCAGATGTATTCAGTCTCTAATCTTTCATATTCCTCTTCACCACTACTTATTCTGTTTCACTCTTATACGTGTCAAAACTCTATTGATTCTCTTCACTCATTTTCTTGTCTACCTTTGTGTGCTATTTGGAACGTGGCAACTCGAACTGCTGCACTTCGGTGCCAAGTTCTATGTTGAATCCAGACAGACAGACAGACATTTTAGGTTAGTATGTATGAAACGCAGACGTTTTATTTGTATGCTAGCAGTTTGTGTAACATTTATATGAAATATTTCAAATTATGATTGTATGTACTTTCATATCGATTATACGGTAACTGACTAAAGTGAATACGGGTTTTTCCAATGACATATATATATATATATATATAGAGAGAGAGAGAGAGAGACGACAGAAAAGTAATGCCAAACAGAAGCGAGTATTAGTTATTTAGAAAATCACTGCTTGATATTTATGAATATGAAATTATTTATCTATCAGTAAGTTACCTAACCAGTTTCGTTTCTGTTCGAATGTAATTTTTATTTTATGAGGTTTTCAGGTGTCATTTTCACTTCCCTTCTTAAGAAGATGAAGCTAATCTATTCAACATGTGCGTTCATCAATATTATTATTGCTAGGCAAAAGTAGGAAGCGTTTAGCATGTACATTCTATTCTTTCTCATTGATCTGTCAACGAGAGTTCCGGTTGCTTGACCTTGGATTGATTCTTCTCACTTTTTCTCCTAGTCATTTTATTATTAGTTTGTTTGTTGTCTTTGGTACTGAGGTTAAGTCTAATTTCAATAAGTTTTGATTGTTGAGAATTGACTTTCGACCCTTGATTTTGTTGACATAAGTTACTTGCTTTTGCATTTTTGAATTGGTAAATTTCTAATTTTTTGGCTATTAAAGTTTGTGTTTCCGTACTTGGTGTTGTAAACGGTTAAATGAAGCCGGTAGCGGAGTTTAGCCCGAAAAATGAGTACTATATTTGGTCTGATTTTTGGAAAAATCTCACAGAATATATGAGGTATTTTTTCCATACTGTGTTAAGGACATTTAATGGCCAACTTGCATAAAGTGTTTAATCACTTTTACTGAAGTATTCAACTTCTATATTGGTTACTATATCGCCGTCCTCGATGGGCAGTGTTAGATGATATAGGATCACTTTGGAAGAAAGCTAGTGGTGGTGGTCAAACGAAAACTCGGCATCAGTTGATGAAATCCATAACAGTTAGTTTAGACCACGTAGGGAAGCGTAGACTACCTGATTGGGGTCCTCGAGATGGTAAGAACCAATGAAAGCTCGAAATGATTGGTGATATGGCTCAAAATCACTCTAAATGGTGCAGATGCATTCACTCTTTGTGATTTATTATATCCAATAAAACTCTATCGTTCTTTCATATTACTATTCTTTTTCCCTCATACCTCCATTTCTTACTTCTATTTTGAATCTCCTTTTAATCTCTTCCCTTCCTTTGTGTGGAGTGTGGCAACTTGAAGTGGTGCATATCTGTGCCAGAGTTCTACGTTGAAGTCAGTCAGTCATTGGTTACTATTTTATATATTTGAAGTAGAGGTTTCAAATGTACTCAGCATACAATACTGCAATTATCTCCAATGCATTACTATATGTTTTTTATTATTTCTTCCGTGTTTTTTGTAAAATACAGGTGGACTTCAATACTCCGAATTGATTACAAAACATCTTATCACAGCTGTTGTACCATTCTTGCCTTTACAACCGACTCATGTAAGAAGTTGTATAAAGGATGTTGCCAAAAAGCGTAATGTAACATTTTCTGAAGATATGGTACAATTCGTCTTGGATGAACTTGAATGGGCTCCAGAGGGGAGTAAATTTTTCTCTGTTTCCGGTTGTAAGAGAGTCTATGAAAAAGTTGGATTTTACATACAACAGCTTTAAAGTTTTATTATTACTAAATTATCACCACTATTAGTACTCTTATTATGATTATCTTTGTCCTTCTGCTTTTTATTCTCTTTTAGATCACTTTGTACATAGTGGTGTGTTTCTTATCCGTTTCTTGTACTATTTTTCTACTGTGCTTTTTTTTTTAATTTGAGACGTCAATGTATCCGCTTTTCAGATGACTTATACATATTTTCAGATGTCTTCATTTTATAATTGTATTGTGTAGACTTTGAACTGACATTGTGATTAAAATGTTTACTGGTGAGAATCTTTGTTTTTTTTTATGTTATTGAACATAAATCAAATCATATGCTCAGTCAAATTCAGAAACGGTACATTTCTATATCCTATCTAGATGTAGTAATACCTTTCAAAGTTGTTAGATCTTATTAGTATGTAAATAATAGTTTAGGTGGGATGTTTGGACAGTTCTTTTACCTTCATCAGCTGAAAATGCTGACAGCGATATTGTGTCATTTCCTGTCAATAAGTTATATGTCATGTTTATGTGCGAAATATATGCCTATGCAGTTGACTCTTTTTGTATATATATACCATCAGAATTATGAACTTTTGTTTTAGTGTTTTTAGTAACACTGTGTTATACATATGGCATCCAGTGATATGCTTGAAACTTTCAATATTACTTCAATCACTACTTCCTTAGTGGGAATTATTTATCGTTTGCTTTTTGTTTAGTTGCAGGAATAACACACTGACCTTTTGACATGTCATTGGTTATCAGTTTTTACGGGTTTTGAATAACACTTCATTGATTTCATGTGAATAAAGCGAAAACCTTAAATTTCATGTATTACTTACTCTGCAGTTGCTTCGAATAACTCCTCGGTACAGCAGGGCATAAATTTTCTCTGTGTTTTCTTCGGATTTGCTGTCATCCAAAATAAAGAAATGAATATTTAAGCACACTTGTATCCAATCATTCATGTCTACTCAATTTATGCGTTTCTTACATCCATAATAAGTTCATACCACTGTGTTAACCTTCTACTTTTCTTTGCACTTTCCTCAGGTCGTCTGCTTTACATCATCATTGAATGCTGCTTGACAAACTGGTCTTCCATGTTATTTAATGTAATCCTTTAGTACAAAATTAGTAGTTGGTGTGCAATTGTTCTCCATTATGGATAAGATTTTGTTTTGATAAATCACACAGTGTTACACAGTAATATTAATTGATGACGTTTCGAGCATAAATTATTGCTCATAATCATATCAAGTCACTTACACAACTTTTGCTTCATTTATATATATGTATGGAATTGACTAGATATATATAAATGAAGGAAAAAGTTGTGTGAGTAACTTGATATGATTATGAGCAATAATTTGTGCTCGAAACGTCATCAGTTAATATTACTGTGTAACAAACACTGTGTGATTTATCAAAATAAAATCTTATCCATAATGGAGTTACACTCTACCACAGTGCCCAAGTTTTATACTTATATCAATATTGCAATTGTTCTGTTGAGATTTTAATGTTAACTAAAAGTAATTATCAATATGACGTGTTTTAGTGGCAAATCGTTTTATGTAAACTAATTTTCAGAGTGATCTCATCATATGATGAATATAATTGGTAAAATGACTTTTGAAACGTGTTTACTTGAGATACAACTTCTTCCTAAGAATGCCCCCCTTATATATCACATGATCACCAAAAGTTGGTTGCTTCAGGTAGATATGAGGGACTCATTGTGATTGATGGTTAGATGAAGCATATAAACATCATTTGATTTCTTTGAGAGGTTTGTAGCGGTATTTCCTTCGCTGTTGTCCCACAAATTAAATCAGTTCACTTTATATGCAAGACCCTTAATAATTAGTCAACTTTTTATTTTTATTATTCAATTCAGTATGACGGCAAGAAAACATGACTACTTGAACGCAGTTTTGCTAGAAAATCATTGAAATCATCATCAGTAGTTCGAAAGGTAGTCATATTTAATAGATGTAACAGCTGACTAGTTCTCATTAAGTGGTATGACAAAATTTAATTGTATCACAGTCAATTAGGGGCACAGCATTTCAAGAATAATATGATTGTATGTTAAAGTGATCCATGAAAATGTTGAACAGTCTGTTTTTACCGGCATGTATAGCATCTGAGAAAAGTAGAGAGCACATGCTGTCCGCGGTGATAAATTTGACAAATAATTGAATCAGTAATACGGTGGCATATTAATACTAGGGTAAGGATTGATTAATGCTTTGCCATACGAACTACTATCCGAAATAATAAAATCTTATGCTCCACAGTGTGCTTTGATAACCTGGTGGCTTTTTGAATAGTGACAACCTTAGAATTCTCAAACTTCTTGTGTGACAATTAGTAATAAAATTCCTGTCTCTTTTAGCGGTTTGTGAAAACCAGTTTCATCCGATTAAAAGAGTGTCTGGTGTCTACCCATTACTGATACTGAAATTATAGAGTACATAATATATGTAAAGTGTTTTTCCACTATGAAGAACATATTGTGAACTCGGAATTGATATACATACGGTACATGAAAGTCTCATGATATTCTTAGGATATCTAATGCACCAGGCATTGTATTTTTCTATTATGTAACAAGACAAAATCAAAAGATGTTTGGTTTTGTAATATTGTGTTAGTAGTAGAGTTAAATTTACAAGTATACAAACAAAGTGGTGATGGTTAACCACTTATTGGGAACTTAATGTGATTCTGATTATAATACTATAGTACATCTCCTTTTCCAAGTTCTACAATATGCTAAGCTCTGTACACGGCCAAAGGCGAACATTATATTAAGAAGCACAGGTGAAGATTTGAAAAGATGTATTGTTAACGGAATCGAATTTCGAAGAGCATGAGGTGAACGTACAAGTATGTAACGGTGCAAATATATATATATATATAACAAACGTAAATCAACGTTCAATAATACATTGACAGTTATTCGAGAAACACATGTAAAATCATTTAATATAATGTGGGTAGGTGGATTAGTCTTATTAGTGCACTGTTGTAGTTAATACAGTGATGTACTTTCTGTGTGAAATTACTTTTAATTGGCTGTCTACCGGCGTGCATTTCTCAGAGACGAAGAGAGAACATCATGAGGGATTAGACTACTTTTCAGATTAAAAAGTATTTTTTTATCACATAATATGCTGTTAGTCGCTATTTTACTTGAAGATTCTTGGTGAAGACAGAATATTGTGCAATAAACTACTCTGGGAATTCTGTATAATGTGTAAAATTTTTGTCTAGAATAGAGCTAATATTATAACTATTGTTAAGAGGACACTTGGGAACAAACAGTGGGAATAATTAAAATAGTAAATATTCATCAGTTATATACAAATCGATTTTGGAGAAGGTTTCATATATATAAATTAATCATTGGAATAGGCAGAACTAGTTAGACTTACGTGGGTGGTGCAATGAACTCAACCCAATTCCCTCTCACATTTTATTAGTGAGTCATTTATAGTTGACAGTAAACTAATTGACTCCGATTATAAAGCAGACTGATCATAAGAGCACTACATTAGAAATATATGACAAAAGCACATCAGTTAATAAAAATAGACTTTTATATTTAACTAGCTAAGTTAGGATTGTCTGTGGTTTTAATACTTCAATGGAATATATATAACGGTAGAATAAGAGAGAGAGAGTTGGTAGAGGAATGTTTAATTGAAATTGGGTATCTCTATGTAGGGAGAATTATGTGCATCTTATCTTTAAATCACCATTTGCACAGATCTTCCGTGTTGTGCTATTTCTGGCCCTTATACTGTGTTTCTCTCTGTTCCCTTCCCGTCTCCTATGTATCTCCGCAACACTGTATCATTTGCCTTATCTGAAATCAACTGCATCTCCCTGTTATTGAATGTTTTTACACCGATGAACGTCTCTTTATGTACTACTGATGAATCTTATCAATATCACATGCCACCTATATAAATGTATATATGCATATACATAAATAACGTAAATGGATATATAGAGGTTTTTAGTGGCAGAACTGCTCAATAAATATATTATACACATTAATGGAGAAATGTAACATGATTACATTGAAACTACAGTTTTGTATTAAGTAATCACGTTCTGCTTATTTTGTCTTCATTTCATGCCTTCTATATTGGTTCACCACTTTCTTCATTTCCCCTAATCGCAATTTAACTTTTTGCTGCTCTGTTCAGAATTCTGGCGGAAGACTTCACACAATAGACTGTTAATAAATTCTTGGTAGAGCATTCCATGGTAGCAGTTATCATATCATTTCTGTACAAACTATTCTAACATCAGACTTAAATATCATATATCTGTTTCGTTATACTGCTGTTGAAGTTAATATTATCGCTGGTTACCTGTTGTAACTTATGTTTTTCTGTTAGAAATACACGGTTATGGAGAACGTTCCAGAGCTGATGGATCTTGCTGTTTACACCATATATGCCGTATACAAAGGCAAGTTTTTACTGTGGAACTCCCAAAGTACTCGTCCTACTAGGACCAGAGACAAATCAAAACAGCAAATCAATCGTCGAAAATACAAGATAAGCGATGATGACCGCTTATCTAGCTACCAAATGACGTGGATGCTTGATGCAGTGCCTTCAGCTTAACAAGTCTACTTAAGCAGTCAGCATCCAATTTTAAACGAAGAATGTTGCAGAGTAATCATTTTGATGAAAGATTTACAGAAACGGGTTGTCCAGAAGTGTTTGGTACGTGACTAGGATAAAGTTATTTAAGGTACTGATAAAAATATTGAAGTCGGTCACGACAATCTAAATTTCCTTCCCTTTCATTTTCACCTCTTCTATAGGATATAGGGTCGATTCCAAGGAGAATTCATCAGGCAGCTGATGTTGTGCACGGTCCTATGTGATTTTGTATTAATGGTATTAGGGGATACTGCAGTCATTCCGAATGTCAATTCGGGCTGTTTTTTCTATGTCGTCCACAGCGGTTATATTTTTTCAGCTCATTTTCCATACTAATTTAGAGACTGAGGATGTTTACGTTCATGGGTAGTATGATGTATACTAATGCAAGATACAATACCCACAACTTCTATAGTATTCGTCCCGTGTAGACCAAATGCAAAGCAAAACACAAGAATTGGTGGTCCGAATTACGAAGTTTATTTCGGGATCAAGTTGGAGTGCGTGATGTTTGCCTAACTGGCTAGAGATCGTGCACGAACGGACGAACGCAGCACGATGGCGTGCCGAATAGCGTGGATGTTTGACTGTAAGCCTTCAGCTAAACAAGTCGACTCAAACACTTAGGATCAACGTCCAATGTTCAGTGATGAATGCTGTGGCTAATAATTTTGGGGAATTACCTACCTATGCGCGGAAACGCCTGACTAGTTTCTTCCTCACCGTACAAGAAACATGCAAAGTATTAAGAATTTCCTGAGGAAACTGACAAATTGACCAGACTGAATTTTCCTCCGAGATATTTGAAGTGTAATTTGTCTCATTTTGTTTAAGCGATGCCAAAAGACTATGGGTTAGATGACAGAAGTGTTAGTGAGCATTATATTTTAACAGAACCATATAATAGTTCCCTGTCTGCATACTCGTTCACATAATAAATCCCTCTAAAAATGTACACGTACTTCTTTAAGAAAGACCGTAGTAACTGTTTGGTATTGTAACTGAGAATTTCGGAATAACTGCTAGATGTGCAACTTCGTCAAAAAAAGTAAAGTCAGGCTTCTAGTAATGTGAAATTGGGAGAACCATTCGTACTGTATACCAACAATCGACTGGAATAATTAGATACGGGCAATAAGCTAGTTAAAAAATTGAATGTTTAGTCACCAATTCAACAAACGTCACTTTTTTGAATGTTTACAATCAACCGTCATTTTAT